CTACACGACGCTCTTCCGATCTCCCCAAAACCCCAAAACCCCTTGAGAATAAATTTAAATCTTAACTGAATTTAAAATTAATTAAAATGTCAGCTAATCATTCTAACAGTTAAATTGATCTTTCCCAAATTTATAGAGAACTTTAGTAAATTACCTCTACTCTTAATCGAGAAGACCAAGGTAAGATATTCAATCATTTAGAGTTACTAGACCGAAAAAGAAAAACACTTGAAGCATCGTAGCATATGCTAGAACAGTAGTAAGAGCTTATCAAGAGTAGTCTACTCTAAAATTTCTAAGCTTAGTAGCAAGATGTAGCCTCACCAAGAAGTCTCCACTTTGAATACTTAAGAAGATCTACCTAGTCTAAATTACAATAAGAAATCACTTATAAGAAATAGGATCTCGAAGATTCTTTGTCAAATTGTAAAGATTCCTCATTTTATTAATATACTAGGCTAATTAAGGATTGCCCAGCTTGAAAATTAAAACAGAGGAGATTTTATCTAAGGTTACTCTGATTACTAGGAATCTCAAAAGGGTCTGACTTAGATTATGTCATAACCCAAATACTCAAACATTCTATCAAATGGCCATGAGCAATATTTAAGTGTTACTTAAACCAATTATTCTGATAACGATACTATCAATTTCAACGATTCAACAAATATTCCTAGATAAACTAAATAAAATGATAGTCCTTATATTCAAAACTCAAATCAGAAAAAGAATATTTCACACAACATTCAAAGATTTGATGAAAATACAAATCCATCTATGAATCATAGAAGTACTTTAAAGTTCAAATTTAATGATCATATGATTCATGAAGAGTAAAATCAGCATGAATAAGACGATAGTAGAGTCAATTATGAGTCTTGTACACTAAATATTCAGTATCTGCAACCCTCTTCTAACTTTACATCTAACAACAATGAGTGTAGCATGGGAACTACTTATAGATAAGATTAGACTAGTAATCTTAATTAATTAGATGATTCTAGCTATGTTGAATCCGAATAAAAGTTCACTCCTGTACCAGAATAGCAAGTAAGGCTTGATCCAGAGCTAGAAGACCATATTTTAAAAGAAGATTTAACCAAGGAAAGCGGGAGAATTACTTTTAACTAGGGCTTTAGTTTCACCAAAACATTGCAGTCATAACCTTATGATCTGTCAGAGGATGTAGAAAGAAGCAGAAATTATACTGTTGATCATGTAGAGACATGCAATACCAAGGAGACTCCAATATTCTCTGAAGATTATAGTCAGAATCAAACCATGTCAAAAGATGATGAGAAGCCATTCAAGGAAATAAATCATCAAAACATTGATAACAAGAACTATGCCTAGTCATTTTAAAATAAGTAAAAATAAGCATTGGAAAGTCAATTTAAGCAACTCTTAAATCAATTCGAAAGATAAGATTTCAATGATGAAAACCGTGATTCAGATTAAATAGAGGAATTAATTCTTGAAATTTATAGAATTTCTAAGCAAAACAATGGAGTCGTTCCTTAATAGTATTAACAGAAACTTACTTCATTACAAAAGGATTTACAGTTGAAACAATCTAAATTCTAAAACTATAATATTAATTAGAAAAATGCTTAGAGTACTATAACCATCGGAAACAGCACAATGGCTAGCTTTAAAAGTCATTTATCAAGCTTTTAATCTACTGCACTTGGAACTATGTGTACTTAAGAGAAAGATACTCAGCAATTGTAGCAATTCATGCCAGATTTTGTTTAAAAGTCTATCATTTCATAAGATACTAATATATTAAGAATTTATAGAGATCATAATCAGAATTATGAGAAGGTTATAGCTCAGATAAACATTAGAAAAATATCATAATTCAAAAGTATTAAGAACCCAACACCTTCAGAAATTAACCTAGGACTTCTCTACTTACTAGTATTTTCGCCTATTGATACTTCGATAAAATTAACTAATGATAAGAGTACATTGGTCGAAAAATCATGGAATAATGGAATTTAGCAATACTTCAACAATTGTGGAAAAATCATGCAAAATATGCGAAAATTAAAAAGCATGCTTGATTATGAGAGGATAAACTATCAAATAATGAAGGAGATACAGCAGATATGGGATAATGGAGTGAATTATAAAGAACTCAGGAATGAGAGTAGTAGAGACCTCAGAGATTTTATGAATGTAATCATTGAGCGAATTTTGCTGAATAGACAAACAAGAGAACTAATTAATGATCAAACCGATTCTGGCAATAAAAATATAATTGATCCTTAAACAAAAAGATTAAATGATGAAGCAAAATTATAAGGCATACTAAATAAACCTCCAATTGAGGTTTAACCATAATATGATGAATTCAAGTATCAAATAAACAGCACTCTATTTGATTAAAATCTTAAGCTTGAAAACGAACTTGTTCAAAAAAAGCAAGACATGGCGAAGACTAGTAAGTTAGTTAGAGAGCTCAAATCAAAGGAGAAGTAACTGAAAGTCAGCATTCAAAGAAAAGATAAGCAAGAAGAATTAAAAAAGAAGAAAGAGGATTAGAAATCTTATATGCAGTATTAATAATTTCTTAGAGATCAGTTTCAATAATTCCTAAGAGAAAGAATAATGCTCGATAAAAAGGAGAAATCAGTAAAAACAAAAGAATCAGTGCTTGAAAACAGACTTTAAAAGATGAAGGAAAATGCAATTTACAGGCTCTAAATGATTGATGAATTCAAAGAGACACTGGATAAACTAGAATGGAATGATCGACTAAAAGAACAGTCAAAAGAAGAAAGAAAGAAGGATCATGAAGAGTTCTTAATCAAGCTAAGAGAAGATAAGATGTTCAAATAAGAGCTTTATGCAATTGAGAAAATTATAGAATTTGAAGAGAGGAAAGTTAGTAGGTAGAAGGATCTTGACTATGAGCATAGTAAATTATTGAAGGAGCAAGAAGAAATTATGAAAAACATTGAGTATATGTTAAAAGCACATAAATGAAGTCACATGAAAATAATTATTATTGTTTACTAGTTTATAACTTTATATTCTAGACGTTTGGGGTTTTGGGGTTTTGGGGTTTTGGGG